AGAATCCACAAATATACACAAAAGCATGAGTTTTTCCAGAACATCACCTTCAACTAAACCTAAAACATGAAGTAACAAAAAGCCTAAAAACCACACCTCTGGATTAGCAGAGGCAGAAGTAGCCTCCGCAGACTTCTGAGCATCAACATCCGTGGAGGGGACGTCTTGAGCCATCGCCTGCGCAGGCTCCTCCTTGTCAGCGACGGGGGTTGTTTCCTTTTTAGGTGCGTTCTAAGATTGTGAGGGCCGCGCCCCAGCGGCGACACGACGAGCCTCCGCCTTCTTCAAATCCTGCATAGGACAAAAGGAGAGAAATCAAAAATAGGAAAGCAAAAATAAAAAAATAACAGAGACCAAGGATTAGCGATCAACGAACCACAGTACGGCATGCCTCCGCCAGAGAACGAGTGTCAGCTAGGCCAAACTTCAGCCAAAAAGACCTCATGAAGTTCCTCATCATCTTATTCAGGCCCCTGGAAGTTTCTCCAAGCTCCAAAGGTTGGTAGCAACATGATTGCACCCATATTTCATCAGGATCTTAGAGAGGTTGGTAGCAGAAGAAAGCGTCCCAAAATCAACGGTACCACCAACAAAGCCGGACAGCTTGGACAAATTGGACTTCATCCAAGCAAAGAGGTTGTAAGGCGAAGGCTCTAAAGGAAGAGGAGTCGCAACACCTCTAAACTCGCCTAGCATGCTGATATACAACTCAGCAGCAGAGAGCCCAAGAGCCCTTGCATCGTCCAGCCGCTTGGTAAGCAAGTTAACTTGGGCCACCAGAGCAACGCTGGACTCCCTCTCAGCCTCAACTTATTTGAGAAGACCCTCATTGACATCTATAGCCTTCTGAGCCTGTTCTAGGGCCAACTGCTCAGCAGCCTTAGAGCCTTTGAGAGCCTTGTTCAAAGACTCGACCATGCTCTTTAGCTTGTCCAAATCCTTCAGGGCCAAATGAAGATCGGCAACTTCCTCCGAGAGCTGTCGGTTTGTGGCTTCAATCTTATACATTTCATTTTGGAGGCCCTCGATGGCCATGTCGCGATCGACCACCTCCTGCGTAGCTCGCTCCTCAAGGGCCTCCGCCATGTGATGGCTCTGATAAAGACAAAAATCAACAAAGAAGAAGGAAAAAGAAAAAAAAAGGGGGAATAAAAAGAAGCAAAAGATTAAAAACTTACCACGCATTGTTACTCTATGTTGTACTGCAAAAGAGTATAGAAGTTCACCTTCTTGAAATGTTGACGCGTCCAAGCTGTAAAAAAACAAGAACCATAAGAAATGTAAGACAAACAATACTGACCAAAGCGAAGGCTAGAAAGTAACCTCCTATCTCCTTATAAAGGGTCAAGATACTCCCCCACCCACTTATAATATCCCCGGAACTTACTGAAAACAGAAAGCACAGGAAAAAGTCAGCAAACACAACGACAACACAAAAATAGGGGAGAAAAGAGGAAAAAGAAAACAATCAAACCTTTGGCGCCAGCTAGACTGGGTACCGAAGGTCCAGCTCCTGCCATAAGCAAGGGCGCCTTCGGCGAAGCGTTGAGACCAACCCGGCTAGGGTCCATGCCAGGCGGCAGAGGAAGCTCCCCCCCCCCCCCACCGGAGTCTGCATTGCCTTGGTCAGATCCCCTGCGAAAAACAAAGTAAAATGCACAGCAAGGCGAAATTGAGGGTAGAAAAGCACCCAAAATACATCAATACTGATAGCAATATAAAAAAGGGGGAGGAAAATACTTACATAGGTATAAATTAACTTGGGCAGCATCCATCTCAACATCCTCTACTTGACGCGAACCGACCGAAGCCTCCGAATCCCGAGGGTGGGCCACAGGCGGCCTATCCTTAGACTCATCTTCAGACTCCTCAACAAGAGCAGCCTTCCCAGGACAACTACCATCCATAGGCGCATCATCTTGGCTCGCGCCATCACCGCCCTCTGAGCTAGATGAGTCATCGCCAAGAACGTTGGGTATGGGGTCAACGTCAATAGGCTCATCGACGGCGGTGACGCTCAGACCATGAAGGGTAGCCCCAACAAAGTCATCTGCTCCCAAGTCGGCGGAAGCTGCCAACTGCTCGCCACCTATGCTCAAAGGCAAAGAAGCAGAGCCTCCACTGACATTCTCCGCCACCTCTCCACCAATATTGGCGGAAGTGGCAACAGAGGCAGACCCAATTATCTATTTTTTACTAACGGCCTTTACTCGGCCAGAGCCCTTCTTCTTCTTAGCCTCCACAGTAGCAGTAGCATTCTTTACTACAACTTTTTTGGCCTTGTCTTATAGCGATTTCAGCACCTTCAGAGGAACCTTGTGTTCCTCATGATGTATCCCAAGCTCCTCAAAAACACAATTATGGCGAGGCATGGTACCCGCGACATCCCTTCATGTCAGATATTCCTTGTTGGACATATCACCGAGGATTTCGCGTGCCTCTTCCTCCATGGTAACAACAAAGTCACTAGCACTCACATCCTCCGCCCGCTTCAAATCAAAATGGGGAAATGGAACCCCAACCCCATCACCAAAAATAGGCAGACTAACCATCTCGATCCTCATCGACGGTCTGTTTCGGCCAAGCGGCCAGCATTTGGATGCCACCATCTCCTCCACCAAATCATGGCCTCTAGAATAGCGGCAAGCCAGGGCGAAGGCTTTTTCACAAGCTTCGTGTCCCTCTACAATCTCTGCTCCAGGTGTTCCTTGGGTCGAAGGCTTCATAGGAGTCATAACCGAAGCCAGCGGATAGCGTGTGTGCTTTTTTCCTTTGCTATCCGTGGAAGTTATGCCACTGGTCCTAACATAAAACTAGTACTGCATTCAGTCTTTGTTCCACTTGTTCTTCTGAGCAAACAAGATCTCCAATCTCTCGCCCTTTTGTTGCCTCTTAGGCATAAAAGCACAACTACCATACTGAGCCACAAGCTGGTCTTCGCCAACCTTCTTAGGTTGGCATTGAAGCTCATAGTATTCGCAAAATGTGCCAATATGCGGCTCCGCACCATAAGACAAACAAGCCTAACAAAACTTGCTTAGAGTAAGAATGCCATTCGGTATAAGATGATGTAACTGTACCTCAAAAGTTTCCAAAATGTGGCGAAGGAACTGTGTAGAGGGGAAGCGAAGACCACATGTGAAGAAGTCATGAAACACAATAGCATCAGCAGACTGCAGACGAGGAATGGTCTCACCCTACGGAGGCTTTGCCTTAACCACTCCAAAATAGCCTTCCTACTCAAGAACCTTGATTATATCCTTCGTCATGAGCGAAGGCCCGAAATCCCACGTCCTAGCAACACCAGCCACATCTTTTGCTTCCTCGGTAGTGATAAGATTGCCAACAAAGACCTAAACACTACAAAGATCCTCCTCTAGCTCTTGAGCCTCTGCAATAGCAACCATACACTCCTCAAAATGTGTAGACTAACCGCTAGCCCTAACACTAAGAAGGTAGGAGTAGGGACCAAAGATGGTGGCCCCGCGAGGAGGAGGACTAACAGGAGAAGTCACCTCTTAAGTCCTAAGAGGAAACCAGAATAGAAGCAAAGGCAAGACATAGCTAAGCGGAGGCTGAAGTCGAAAGGGGACTAGAAGGCGAAAGGATTGAAAGTGATGGCTTAGGTGGCATGGAGGGGAGCCTTCACCTACCCCTCCCTTATATAGGCCATGAACCGACGCTTCAACTCCCGTGCCAAACGGTCACATCCGTCCAGCAACGTGATGGTTCCAGAACCACCGCAACCAATAAGAAAGCAACACGTCAAACCTATGATGGTCTGATCCAGGCGACCTAGGGGGGAAAGGGGGGAAGCCTCAGCAACTCAATATCAACGGTAAAGTTGAGGGTCATGGCCTGCTCGCATTAGACCATGCCCTCAAGGGGGGAACTGTTGGAACATAGATACATGAGTAGCAGAGGCTCGAACATAACAATAGTCATTTACGTGTTTTGATGACGTGCAGGTAGAAAAGGTGGACCTTCGCATCCGACCACCGACGTGGCGGAGGTCAAAACACAGGGACACTAAGAGAAGCTTTCGCCTCTAGTCAGGAAGGAAGTGGAGGCCCAAGCACGGATTTCGAAGGCCTTTGGAGGGGCTTCTCGACGGAGGCCGCGGACCATGGGTAGAGGCTTAGGTAGTTCGGGCGAAGGCCACGCAGCCCCTGCCCAAGAAGGGAGTCATTACAACACCATGACCCGATGATGGAGATGGGCCTACTGTGGGCCTGCTGGGGAGGCCCGAGAGGCAAAGGTGGTGTAAGAGGAAAAGACCCGGAATGCCCTTGAAGATTTGAGTTAGTATAAGGATATTCTAGGAATGTACCAAAGCCGGCATAGGGCAAAGATGTACAATGAACTAACAGCAATTAGTGTCCTATAAAAGGGGGAGCCAGACCCTATGTAAGTTGGTTGGTGAATACTTTTATGAAACCCTAATTGAGCCTAAGCCCACCTTTCACTTTCCATACCTTCGCCTAGGGAACCCGGCTGGGCGAAGGCTTCACCGTGTCCCACCTGCTAGAAACATGGTTTTCCAACAAGTAGCTTTCAATTTTTAGGTGCCCTGAGTATATAATATAGCAACAACATCGTCCATAGATCAGACTTCATGATATTTATGTCTGATATTCATTAATTTGTCAATTCCATGCTTTTAGCTTTTTACTATGCGCCAGATCTGGTACCAAATGTAACCAACCTAGTGCTTCAGTTCTCATTTTGTGATTATTCTTGTACCTACCAACTGCTACAGTGCTCCCTTTTGAATAATAGTGCCAAGGTTGTAGGGGTCTCGATCAGTGCTTTTACCATCAAGATTAACATTCATTTAAACAAATCACATGAACTTTTTATTTATTTTTGATTTTGTAGATACCGAACCAGCAATGGCGGTGGTATTGGATGCTTTAGCATCCTACCGGCAAGACATGCTGTTGTAGATGGCTAAAGAAGAGGTGCATCTCCTCTTAGGCGTTCCCGATGAGATAAAAAAGATGGGCATCAAGCTTGCGGAACTCAAGAGGTTCCTTGCCAATGCTGACAAGAGGAACATCAGAGACGAGAGTGTGCAGTCATGGGTTAGAGAGCTTCGAAATGCCATGTATGATGCCACCAATATCCTTGATTTGTGCTAGCTCAAGGCGGTCGAACGGGGTCCTTCTAGGGATATGGGTTGCTTCATTCCATTGCCCTTTTGTATGAGGAACCCTCTCCATGCTCATGACATTGGTAATCACATCAAAAACCTTAATAAGAGGCTAGATGACATTGAGAAGTGTAGCAAAACCTTCAACTTCGTCAACCTTGCATCTTATGATGATGACACAGAAAAGGTAGAATCCTACCTTCGTGCTAGGCGTGAGATGACGGGAGAGGATGAGTTAGGTGTGGTTGGTGGGAAGATTGAGGAGGACACGAGAAATCTTGTGGATTTGCTCACAAAGAACAAGAAAAATGTACATGAACACAAAAAAGTTATGGTTTATGCTATTGTGGGAGTAGGAGGGATTGGCAAAACCACACTTGCCAAGAAGATCTTTAATCATGACTCCATCAAACAAGAGTTTCAAAAGAGAATATGGTTGAGTGTCAATCAAGAATTTAGCGATGTTGATCTATTAGAGAGAGCAATCACTAGAGCAGAAGGAAACCATCAAGCACCAAGAAACACAAAGGACGCACTAGACTGAACCCTTAAGGAAGTCATAGAGGGGTGCAAGACCTTATTGGTGATGGATGATGTTTGGGACCACCATGCATGGGAGAAGGTGCTCGAGCCTCCATTAATAAACTCACTTGCTCATGGAAGCCGTGTTCTTGTAACAACGAGACATGACACGGTCGCTCGAGGCATGATAGCGGAGGTGCCCTACCACCATGTGGACAAACTAGAAGAAAGAAGATGCCTGGTCTTTGCTCAAGAAGCAGGTTCATATAAGTTAATTTAAGGATTTAATATGTTATGTATTCATGTCTGCACATTTGCTTCACAATCTATCTAGATAGTAGGTAGTATTGTACATTTTCTTCACAGTTTATTTAACTAGCCAGTCTGTACATGCCATGCCCCTAAGCTCCATCATCTTCTATTGTGCTACTATGTCATCTACAAAACCTTTAAGATTTGTTATACTTCCATTTGGTGATGCTACTTTGCTACACAATACTTTGAATTTAACTATAAAAGTTAGTTGAAGGTGCTTTAGTTATTGAATAAATAGGTGCATGCAAGAAATCCTTTGGGCATTGAGAATGTTCGAACAATTATAATCGTCATCGTCATCATTCTTACTATCTTTATCAATGACTGAACTTAAATTGGCTGAAGACGAAAGTGCCCCTATGTAATATTTATAACTTTTAACATCTATGCATTTTCAGTATTAGTTTTGTTAGGTTTCTTATGCACATGGCTATACAAAACTGTTAAGGGCTGAAAATTAACCTAGATGGTTATTTATTTAAGCACTAATATTATGAATCTAGGCTACAAACTACTTTCAAAACACCACTACGGAAACATTTCCCCACTGGCTTAGAAACCGCCATCTCCAGCGGTTTTGCTACTAGACACTTAAACTGATGGTGAAAATATAATAAAAATATTTTAAAAGAAATACAAGTGCCATATGTCCTTAATGGCATTCGTGTCCAACCGCACTGTCCACGCTCGCCACATCCCGTGCGCATCTGCTTGCATGACAGCATGCACTCGTTGAGTCTGCTGCACCAGACAAGCCCACCCGTGCCATGACACTAGGGTGGGGGGCGTCCACCTCACTGCGGGGTCAGGAGGGCCTGGCGCACCACCGAGGGCCACCAAGGGGTCCCTCACTTGTGTTGAGTGCAAATCTAGGTCAAGGGCTGAGGCACCACTAGTGGAGAGAGATGTTGAGGGAGAGATAGAGGGTGCGGGAGGGAGTGTCCTTGCTACAAAAAATAATTGTAGCAACGCCTCCTTTTTTTTAGGGGCTGCTCTATATTGAGCCACCCCTATAAATTTATTTATAGGGGTTGCTGGTTTTATTAGCTGCCCCTATAAATAGCCTAATTTATAGGGGCGGCTCTATATCCAGCCGCCCGTACAAATTGGATTTGTAGATTAAGCCTTAAAATTCGAATTTTTTCAAACGACCTCGGATGGATAAATGACAAAAATAAAAGTTGTAGATCTTGAAAAGTTATAAAACATTGCTATTTATAACTTTTCATTTGAAATCAATTACTGCTTCAAAATGCTAGTTGAAATTCAATTTTAAAATTGTCGAATAACTCTGATTTCTCTTTTTAATCTGTGGCTAAAACTTGTAACTAGTCTTTCTCCCTCATACTAACTTCAAATTTGATGATTTTTTTTCTAAAATTTTCTAAAATCATGCTCTATCAATTTATTATGTTCTTATAGCTATTATTTTGCTCATCTTTTCATGTGATGTAAACAGCAAAGTTTAATAACTTTTCTATACTAACAACTTTTATTTTGGTCATTTCTCCATCCGACAAAGCGGTAGTAACATTGTTCACAAAATTTACATATCTCTCTTATAGTTTATGAAACTATAAACTATAAGAGGGATATGTAAAATTTGTCAATAATGTTACTACCACTATGTCGGATGATCAAATGATCAAATGACCAAAATAAAAGTTGTAGATCTCGAAAAGTTATAGAACTTTGTTGTTGACAACTTCTTCATTTTAAATAATCTTGTCAACGTTAACTTCGTTTGAATTTCTCAAATTTGAAATTCAAATTTTGTAAACGACCTCGGATGGAGAAACTACCAAAATGAAAGTTCTAGATCTCTAAAAGTTATGAAACTTTGTAGTTAACAACTTTTTGATTTGAAATCATGTTGTCAAGAAAAACTATTTTTGAATTTCTAAGAATTTGAAATTTGAATTTTTTAAACGACCTCGGATAAACAAACAGCAAAAATAAAAGTTGTAGATCTCAAAAAGTTATGAAACTTTATAGTTGACAATTTTTTCATTTGAAATAATCTTGTCATGGAAAACTACGTTTGAATTTCTCAAATTTGAAAATCAAATTTCGTAAACGACCTCGGATGGGGAAACTACAAAAATGAAAGTTGTAGATCTCAAAAAATTACATAACTTTGTAGTTGACAACTTTTTCATTTGACATCGTTTAGACCCTTAAACAATCAATTTATGCTCGGTTTAGTATAATATATGGGAAACCAAAATGCAATATAGACACAAGTGAGTGTGAGGTGCAGTGGTAGAGGAGGGTACGCGCGAGGGGAGGTTGCGGGTTCAAATCCTCACAGCCGCGAAGCGCGTCATTTTCACGTGAAAAATGCCACGACTTTATTGTTTATATCTTTTTCATTTGAAATCATTTACTGCTTCAAAACGCTGTTTGAAACTCAATTTTGTAACTGTAGAAGCACTCTGATTTCTCTTTTTAATTCGTGGCTAAAACTTATAACTAGTCTTTCTCCCTAATACTTACTTCAAATTTGATGATTTTTTTTAAATTTTCTAAAATCATGCTCTATCAATTTATTATGTTCTTATAGCTATTAGTTTGTCCTTTTCATGTGACTGTGTTTTATCTATTGGAATTTTGAATTTTAAAAAATGGCAACTTCAAACGGTGTTTTCAAACATTAAATGATTTTAGCTGAAAAAGTCATGAACATAAAAGTTGTAGAACTCATCAAGATCTACAACTTTTATTTTGGTCATTTCTTCATCTGGTAAAGTGGTAGTAACATTGTTCATAAAATTTACATATCTCTCTCATAGTTCCATAAACTATAAGAGGGGTATGTAAAATTTGTCAACAATGTTAGTACCACTATGTCGGATGACCAAATGATCAAATGACCAAAATAAAAGTTATAGATCTCAAAAAGTTATAAAACTTTGTAGCTGATAATTTTTTCATTTAAAATCATCTTGTCAACGTTAACTCCATTTGAATTTCTCAAATTTGAAATTCAAATTTTGTAAACGACCTCAGATGGAGAAAGTACCAAAATGAAAGTTGTAGATCTCGAAAAGTTATAAAACTTTGCTATTTATAACTTTTCATTTGAAATCAATTACTGCTTCAAAATGCTAGTTGAAATTCAATTTTAAAATTGTCGAATAACTCTGATTTCTCTTTTTAATCTGTGGCTAAAACTTGTAACTAGTCTTTCTCCCTCATACTAACTTCGAATTTGATGATTTTTTTTCTAAAATTTTCTAAAATCATGCTCTATCAATTTATTATGTTCTTATAGCTATTATTTTGCTCATCTTTTCATGTGACTGTGTTTTATCTATTTGAATTTTGAATTTCAAAAAATGACAAATTCAAACATCATTTTAAAACATTAAATGATTTCAAATGAAAAAGTTGTAAACATCAAAATTTCCTGACTTTTCTAGACCTACAACTTTTATTTTGGTCATTTCTTCATCCGACAACGTGGTAGTAACATTGTTCACAAAATTTTCATATCTCTCTTATAGTTTGTTAAACTATAAGAGGGATATGTAAAATTTGTTAATAATGTTAGTACCACTATGTCGGATGACCAAATGATCAAATGACCAAAATAAAAGTTGTAAATCTCTAAAAGTTATAGAACTTTGTAGCTGACAACTTTTTCATTTGAAATCATCTTGTCAACGTTAACTCTGCTTGAATTTCTGAAATTTGAAATTTAAATTTTGCAAACAATCTCGGATGGAGAAACTACCAAAATTAAAGTTGTAGATATCGAAAAGTTATGAAACTTTGTAGTTGACAACTTTTTGATTTGAAATCATCTTGTCAAGTAAAACTACGTTTTAATTTCTAAAAATTTGAAATTTATTTTTTTTAAACGACCTCGGATGGACAAACAGCAAAAACGAACGTTGTAGATGTCGAAAAGTTATGAAACTTTGTAGTTAACAACTTTTTCATTTGAGATCATCTTGTAATTAAAAACTGTGTTTGAATTTCTCAAAATTAAATTTCAAATTTCGTAAACGACCTCGGATGGAGAAACTACCAAAATGAAACTTGTAGATCTCAAAAGGTTACAATACTTTGTAGTTGACAACTTTTCATTTGACATCGTTTAGACCCTCAAACAATCAATTTATGGTCAGTTTAGTATAATATATGGGGATCCAAAATCCAATATAAATACAAGTGAGTGTGAGATGTAGTGGTAGAGGAGGGTACGCGTAAGGGGAGGTCATGGGTTCAAATCCCTGCAGCCACAAAGTGCGTGATTTTTGTGCGAAAAATGTCACAACTGTGCTGTTATAACTTTTTCATTTGAAATCATTTACTGTTTCAAAATGACGTTTGAAACTCAATTTTGAAACAAGCAATGATTTCTCTTTTTAATCTATGGCTAAAACTTGTAACTAGTCTTTCTCCCTCGTACTAACTTCAAATTTGATGATTTTTTTCTAAAATTATGCTCTATCAATTTATTATGTTCTTATAGCTATTATTTTGTCCTTCTTTTCATGTGACTGTGTTTTATCTATTTGAATTTTGAATTTCAAAAAATTACAACTTCAAACATCATTCTAAAACAATAAATGATTCCAAATGAAAAAGTTGTAAACAGCAAAGTTTAATAACTTTTCTATACTAACAACTTTTATTTTGGTCATTTCTCCATCCGACAAAGCGGTAGTAACATTGTTCACAAAATTTACATATCTCTCT